ACGGGTGAAGTGTCTTGCCCAAGGACACAACGACCAAGACTGTCCAAGCCGGGGCTCGAACCGGCAACCTTCCGATTACAAGGCGAACTCCCAACTCTTTAGCCACGATCGCCCCATATTTATGCTTAAGGAAATTAAACCCCTGTGGGGAAAATGCCTGACATGAACCCTTATCAATTATTTGGGACATTATACTGAGACGTAGATAATGATCAGATACACTGACTATATAATAAAGTACCCTGAAGTTTGCGTTGAGCACTTTCAAACAGCCTGTGCTGGTCGTGAAACATTAGAAGCTCCTTTATGCAGGATGCACACTGTTTCATATAATAACGTTTTATTCGCCCCGCAGGGGTTATATTCAGTTTTATCGAATATTCAGAAGACTTATCATGTGTATTGCCTTTAAATTTATATGTAATCGTCAAAAAACGCACCGCTGAAACTCCAGCAGCAGTTAGCATGTGGCTAGCTTGCGGCTAGCTCGCCGTACTCACAGAGTGCTCTGGACTCCGTTTGTGTTCGCCTGGCTGAGAACCTGCGTCAGCGCCTTCGGCCGTAACATGGCTGTGCACCCTCTGATATAAGAGATCGAATATAATAACACTTATTGAATTTACGGGACGCGACGAAGAGCTTTAAAGTGCCCAAACTGCTCAGAAACACACAACCAAGTCAGCTGATTCGGTTTTCATTTCCGGGTCCGATCGCAATGAATCACGGGAAATGTAGGTATTTCAAAACCTTATTTCACCCCTAAATTCTTTTATAAATACCACACACAGACCACAACGCATGCGTCAGGGTCAGTGAAGGTTAAAAAAAGACCAGGGAAAAAGGGAGTGAGTGGATGGACGTCGTGAGGGAGCAAAATCACTAAGAAAATTATTTTTTCATTTTTTTAATACAATTTTTTAAAACACCTTTTAAACAAAATATTAAATATTCTGATAAATATAAATATCATAAAATCAGATTTTAGATCAGATGCAAATTTGTGAAAAAACACATGGAAAATTGTGTTGTTTTTATTTTATTTGATGAGCTTTGCGATCTGTCCAAGGGTATCCTGTCATTCGCCCCATGAACCGTCCCCCCGACACTAGACTGAATACCTCAATTCAATTTTCAAAGAAAACAAAATTAGAAGACCATCAATAGTCCTGTCCAGTAATATCCTTTATGCTGTCTTTGACCCCCATAAATGTGTATGTGTTTATGGCGTTTTAACCGTTTTTTCAGTGTCCTGTTACACACTTGTAAAATATGCATTTTTTTTTACCATGCTTGCTATCCCATGTTTACCAATATTACGATATTAAAGAGACCCTTAATTTGCCTATTTATTACTCACTTTGACATGTAGAGCCTTGATTCTAACAATTCCATGTCTAACACTGATAAGATTACAAAAATCTTGGTATATACATAACATTTTTCTTTTCCTGATTTAAATAATAATACACATTAGAGGTCCAGCTGGTACCTGCTCCTTGAATCTGTATGACTTGGCTTGCATCCACCAATACATGAGTCTTGGGTTGGTCAACATCAACAGTGCTCTCAGAATCAGTGTCTGCTAAAAGTTTGGATTTCTGCATCTTCATGGAAAATTACAAACACTGGGATCAATCTGAATGTCATTAGTAACACACTATTTCTCTTCTTAGAGGACAGGAACCGGTGAGGTATTCTTGGGTGTTCCTGTCATAGTAGTGACCTTCTACACCTGATCTGAAGAACAAAGAAAGCATGCCCATGTTCTGCTACTACACATTTTACCTAATCAAGTTGTTCTTGGGTTCATTTTCCTATCAACAGAACAAAGAAAGGAAGACTAAACTGAAAGAATAAACAGTCGAGTCCAGTCAGAACAACTTTCCTGCAACATCACCTCTAAATCAAGGCCAACCTAACGAGTTTGCCAGACTACAGCAACATTTACCATAAGGTCTTAATTTTATTGGTACAAGTTCTCTCTGAAACCTGTAAGAGCTGACATTTATTGTATTTTTCTTCTCTGCCCAAATAGCTACGACATCATTTTCACCCTGATCTTCAACATTCTTGTTTTTTTTCCTGTTAGAATTTTGTTTTTGTTATGGGTAATTTCCTCTGTATATTCTCACAGGAGATACTGATTTTAGTCATTCAATCGTACTGAATAAACATGTCTTTAAAACAACATGCTTTGAACTGCCAGATATCTATTTAAAGATCATTCAAGCAGCTGAGACCATATAGAGGGACTCACTTACAGTGCAAAAGGTCAGTAAATAGTTCTATATTTTCGAAGCGTGGGTGATGATTATCAACAGATCTGCTCAGTAAGCTCGGTCAACAGCGCTACACCCAGTCAGTGATAAGTTTAGTCATCAGCCACCTCCCTCTCTGAACAACAGACTTGGTATCGCTTTTGATTAAACTTTGCAAACACTACCTTCACTGGAGTTACTCAAATCCTCGATCTGCACTAAAATGCCCTGTAATCTTATCAGTTTTAACCCTGTTTTTATGAAGAGAACAATCTGTTCAGATGACTGCTTGGATTTTAGGGAACACCTTCTCAAACATCACAATCTGAACAAACATTTAAAGACCTATCGAGATCAGTCAATCTGTGGCATACACCTAGAATTTTTCTGATAACTGAACCATATAAGTCTCAGGTTTTTGCTGCACTGGATGTTGGCTGTGAAATTTCCCTGCTGACAAGGTACAGTTGAAACCTGCAACATAACTGAAATCTTTCAGTTATCTTGCACAATTAATTTGGTTGCATAGGTATTTTTTATTTAAAAATGGGATGTTAACATAAAAAATGCATAACTTATTCTTGTATTTTCTGCAATTTTCCAGTTGGCTAACATTTCTTCAAGATGAGTGCAGGTGACAAGCGTCTTCTTTTTCATTGTGTTCTTCTGTCTGCCATGTAGGTATCATATGTATCATAAAAACAGGAATACATTATTTTTAACTTGCATTGGCTTTATTGTAACTTCAACAAATCTTCAAAATCTTCAGGGTTTCATGCCATGGCAACAATCCTTTCTTCAATGACAATAAAAACCTCATACTTCCGGCGTCCTACAATATTCCGTGGATGGCTGGCATTGAGGATTTCCGCCCCCTGTCTCTTATCACCATCCCCGGCAGTCACAGCAGCATGGCTCGGCATGGAGGCCCTGAGTCAGAATACCAGGTCCTGTCTCTGAGTGACCAGCTCAGAGCTGGGATTCGTTTCCTGGATCTCAAAGTGTTGGAACTGGAAGGCACCCTCTACGTCATGCATGGGGTGATATACGAGCGCAGCACATTCAGAGATGTTCTGGACACTGTTAAAGCTTTCTTGTCTGAGTTTAACAGTGAGGCTGTGCTGATTAGAGTGGTGCCAGCGATTTTGAACAAGAATAAGGTAAATGAAATGGTGCAGAATCTGATTAGCAATGACCAGCACGTGTGGGTGACCTCTGGCATGCCGAATATAGGCCAGGTGAGGGGGAAATTGGTCTTTTTGCAGAAAAGCACCTTCACACTAGGAATTCCCCTCACAGAGACGGATGAGAATAGCAGCAACAAGGTTAGCAGAGTTAAAGAAGAGGACAACAAACTAATCAAACAGCTGGCCCAAGCCACTGAGGCTTGTGGGGGTGATAACGTTGTTTTGACTTACACAAGCGGCACTGGCTTTGGGACTTTCCTAGGAATGTTTCTGACCCCAAAGAGAGTGGCAGAAAAGGTGAACCCATGGCTCAATCAGTACCTCAGGCAGTTTTATCCCAATCATCCCAGACCATGCTTTGGGATTATTGCCATGGACTTCCCTGGCTTTGACCTCATTCAAACTGTTATCAATTTGAACTGGTGGTAGAGGTTAAGTAGCTTTAACTCCTAATCAAAAGATCGAGAGCTAAAATGACATGCATTACTATGAAATTGTTCCTATGACATTTCTGTCATTCTTCACTGTAAGACAGTGTTTCCTGAACAGCACAACAACCTCTGATGTTAACTTTGATGAAAGTGAAATCAATAAATCAATCAATCTTATTTTGTTGCCTGTTTTTCAGTGAAGCCTGTTTCAGGCTGTTT